GATCTTTCCCCGGAGCTTGAGCCGCGGGGTCGTCTTCTCCCGGGAACTCAGATCCTTCCCCGGGGCTTGGAGCTGCGGGGTCTCCGTCTCCTGGAACCAGGATCTTTTTGCGGGACTTGCTGCTGCGGGGTCTCCTCCCTAGAACCAGGATCCTTCTCCGGGGGATTAGAGCTGCAGGGTCTCCGCCTCCCTGGAGCCCAGATCTTTCCCCGGAGCTTGGGCCGGGGGTCTCCTCCTCCCTAGAACCAGGATCCTTCCCCGGGGCTTGCAGCTGCGGGGTCTCTTTCTCCCTGCAGGGCCACCGTCGTGCTTGCCTTGTGATGGTGTGCATGTTAGACAGCCACAGACTTAGGCTTCCTGCGTAGGCCTCTGGTGCACCAGGGCTGCTGGTGCTGTTGGCAAGGGATTTGCTGTTCTGTGCGGACGATGGAGTTAACCAGAATTATTCTTTTGTGCCAGGCCTCCAAATACAGTGCGAGGATTTGGTCAGTTCGACTCACTGATGTTGAGACTTGTGCTTGAATTTTGGATTCCCTTACGACCCTTTTTTGGTTAGTCGTGACAGGTGCTTACAGGAAGGTGTGCATCTGAGAGCCCGATTGAAGAGATCATTTCCAAAGGACCAGATTTGAAACAGGACCAGATTTGAAGCCGGCCTTGTTGCCCAGAACAGGTTCAGAAGTGTTAGGAGAAGGCAGTGGTTGGGAGAAAGTTGACCCCTGGTTCTGTGTGGTGCTGAACACTTACCATATGGCATTAGGATTTGATAATTAGGAAAAGAAATCAGACAAACGATGATGTGTAAGGAATATATAAATTTAAAAAGAGCCAGCTCCCCCACCCACTTAAGGTTTCATTTTCTTTTCTCCCCTGTTAAATAAGAAAATGTTCTTGAGCCCTTTTGATAACAGAAAACTGTTTAGATACCTGATACAGGTGGACAAAGACAGTTTGTACGTGAAATGATACAGTATGGACCTGGTACAGACAATATTAGTGCCAGATTCCTTTGCTTTTTGGTGAAATAGCATTTGTTCTTGTTACATTCTTGCCAATGCTGGTAATGTGAGGTAGGTCAGATTTTTTTCCCCCTGAAAAGATAAGAAAAGGCAGATGAACGAAACATAGTTTCAAGCTTGCTTTTTTACCATTCTGGTACATTTGGGATCTTACAAAATCAATTCCACTTCTAATGTCAAACAGTATGAAGGCTCTTCAAAATGTTTGTGCTTTCACATTTTGTTTTTAGCAGAATGTTGTATCACAACAAGAGTTAAGTGAAACAGTAATATTGGAAGAGGGATAGGAATCAGAAGATCTGATAGAATATACTTTTCTCTATACCCAAGAGGAAAATAACATAACTTTTCTGCTTTCAGGATTTTAGAGCAATTCTTTATAAAATACATTTTAGAAGAACTTGAAAAGTTGTGGTCACCTGCTTCTCTGTTTGCCCAGAGTGATTTGCTTATGAGTATAACTCAGAGTTTATTAGATGTAGTAAGGACAGGGTTGTAGGCTAATTGGGGGGAAAGCCAATGAGAATTAGTGACAAGTGTAGAGTTTCTTTTTCAAGCAAAATATCTGTGGTAATGAAGCCTAAGCTAGTTAACAAGTCTTTAGGGCATTCTGTGTTACTGTATAGATAAGAATTATTTCAATTTTCAATTACAAGCATAACTAGTTCTGTCATGCTTCTTTTTATTGTATTTTATTGTAGAGTATGCATTTTTTAAAAAATGAAGGCTTACAGCAATTCTGTGTGCTAGGTGACATTTCTTTTGTGATAACATATTTATTAGTGTCTCTGTTACATTGTGGTAATTCTCACAATATTTCAAACTTTCTTATTGATAATGCACACTTTATAAACATAACTTTTGCATGCACTGAAAAACCAGAATAAAAAACTAGAATATTCAGGAAACTAGCTTTATTGCAATGACATGGAACTGAATATAAAAAGTCTGTTGAGGTTATATGGTCAAAAGAATGTAAAAGAATGTTTTGAGCTATGCTGATGCAATTGTTTATTTTCCTAGGCATTATTCTGTCCTCCTTTGAAATAATGCGTTTTTAAATAAATGTTAACTTTTTTTTTTAAATAAATGTTAACATTTACCTGCTACTTGGTGAGCTTTGGTGGCCCAGTGGATAGGGAGTTGAGTTGCACAGCCAACCCAAAGGCTGGTGGTTCGAATTTATCAAGTGCTCCAAGGGAAAAAGATGGGACATTCTCTCCACTCTGTTGACAGCTTTCAAAAGCCAGCAAAAGAGTCAGCTGTGAATGGGTCTGACTCTACAGTCATGAGTTTGAATTTTGAGTATATACATCAGAGTGAAACACTGCCCAGTCCACTGCCATTTTTATCCAGGCCATAGTCTTCGTAATTGCTTGCTGTATGTCAGAGAGCTGGACTGGGATACCAGGGATGATAGAAAGAGAATTGATGCCTTTGAGCTGTGGTGCTGGAGAAGAGTACTGAATATACCATGGACTGCTAGGAGAACAAACAAGTTTGTCCTGGAGAGGGTGAAACCAAGCTGCTCCTTGGAGGCAAGGATTCTGAAGCTTCATCTGACATACTTTGAACATGTGCAAAGAAGGCCCAAGTCCCTGGAGAGGGACGTCATGCTTGGGAGGGTGGAGGGGCAGTGCAGGAGAGGAAGACCTTCTATGAGATGGACTGATTCAGTGACTGGGGTAATTGGGGTAGGTGTGTCAGAGACAGATTGGCACACGGTAGAGCAGCATTTAGGGCTGTTGTACATGGGGTTGCTATAGGTAGCAAGTGACTTTAACAACAACAACAACAACAACATGATAAGTCTGTTGTTGCAGTCACAGTGTCAGTCCATCTTGTTGAAGCTCTTTTTTTCTTAATGCTCTGCTTTACCAAGCCTTATCTTGATGCCCTTCTTCAGAGACTGGTCTCTTCTGACAAAGTATCGCCCTCCTGCTCCTAAGGAACATTCTGGCTCTCCTTCCAAGTCAGATTTGTTCTTTCCTCTGTTAGGCCATGGTGTATCCAGTGTTTTTTTGCCATTCTCATAATTCAAGACCATCAGTTCTTTCATGGTCTTCCTTATTCATCATGCCGTTTTTATGCATATTGAAAATATCATGACTTGGATCAGGTACACTTTAATACTCAATTTTTTTTTCTTCCCTCCCCTCTTTTTCCCCTCTTTTAAACACCTTGTTGTATACTGTTGAGTCAAACCATAGCTGACCCTGCAAAGGGTTTTCAGACACAGTAAATCCCACAGGGGGAGATGGCCGTCTTTCTTCTGCAGAGCAGCTGGTGGATTAGAACCACATGCCTTTGGGTTGGCAGTGTAGCTCCTTAGCACTAGGCCACCAGCGCTTTCTAGACTACTTTGGGGAAGTCTTTTGTAGCAGATTAGGGAATCGTGGTAGTGCTGTGCAGCTAACCCCGTGGTGGTCCATCTCTGACAGCTCAAACCCACAGACAGCTCCCCGGAGAAAGACAGGCAGGCAGTCTCCTCCTGGGTGATGCACACCCACTGAGGGTCACCTGTTAGGACTTGATGACAGTGCAGGTTTTACGTTTTGTGGTACATGAACCCAGTGCAGCGTGTTAATACATTTCTTCACTGCTGCTTCCCTGGATGCTGTTCGTGCATCCAAACAACATGAAATCTTTGGCAGCTCCAGCTTTTGCTCCATTTGTCTTGATGTTGCTTAATGGTCCAGTTGTGAGGATTTTTGTTTTCATTTTGTTGAAGCATCCATACATTATAGTCCTTTGATCTTTATCAGTAAGTGCTTTAAAAAAGTTTAGGCCAGCTTTTAACCGAATTACATACTCTGAATTATTTGAATTAAAGAATTTCTTTGGGTAATACGTATTAAATATTCCATGTATGTGCGAATTACTTCCCCCCCCTTTTTTTTTTAAATTTTATTATTTTGTGTGTGTGTATACCGTCAAATTGGATCTGACTGGTACAGGAGGAGATGGCCCCTCCTTCTCCGGCAGAGCATCTGGTGGATTCGAACCGCATATCTCTGGGATTGTAGTTGCAGCTTCTTGCCACTAGGCCACCAGAGCTCCCCTTACTTTTCCCTTCTAAGTGTTAATGGGGTCTGTGTTTTGTAAAGGCCTTAGAAATGTAGAGTTTCTAAGCGTTTCTTATCCTTTCTCTAGAATAATTAGACATTCTGTGATGCTCATCCGATCACACCTTAACCGTTACCAATCTCTCGTGTTACCTGCCAGATTTAAGGATCACAGCACAGCCATGGACAGTGAACCAAACCATGGAGCATCTTCTGTGTCAACAACAGCTAGTAGCACTACCACCACGACCATCACCACTTCCTCTTCCCGAATGCAGCAACCACAGATCTCTGTCTACAGTGGTTCCGACCGGCATGCTGTGCAGGTATGTGAGCTGTAGCGTGATGGTAGGCCACGGGTGACCACCTTGGCTGCCCCTAGTCAATTCCAAGTGACTGTCGCCCTGAAGCGCAGAGGAGAATGTCTCCATAGTGTTTCCAAGGCAAGAAGCTAACTGCCTCATCTTTCTCAGGTGGATGGTGGATTTAAACGACTGACCTTCCACTTCGTACCCCAGTGCTAAACCATGCTGCACCAGCAGCCCTCCTTGGGCTAAGACTTGAGGATGGCATATTACTTAACATTTAAGCCAGATGCATGTATTGTTTCATATCAGATGTAGATAGAATTGTTAATGTTTGAAACAAACAACAAAGTCACTTAGACAGTCATACTATTTGTTGTTTTTTTTGGGGTGATTCTGACTTACAGATACCCTACATGACAGAGTAGAACTGCCCTGTTGAAATTTCTTTTTGTATTTTTTAAGAACCAGATTCCCAGACTTTTTTCCCCATGCAGCCACTGGGTGAATTCAAACACCAGACTTCCCGTTAGAAGTTGAGAGCTTAGCCATTGTTTCACCAGCGGTCATATTGTTTCTCCTAACTCTATTCATTGCTATCAAGTCTGAACTGACTCTGCTGATCACCGTTGGGTTTCTGAGGTTATGTTGGCAGGAGAGGACTGCCTGTCTTTCTTCCTTGAAGCTGCTGGTGGCTTTGAATGGTCAGAGAGGCATGGATGTTTTGGGTAGCAGTGCACCTTCCTGCAGACTGTGCCGTCATAGTATTTAGAGGGCTTGTGTTAATCAGCGTGTAGCTTAGGGACTGTGTGCCAGGAACATTGTAAGTGGACGGTCTCCCGGTGCTGCCAGAGCAGGGACGTAGCCTGAACTCCAGCACGCTGCTGCTTGTTGTGGGTCACTGAGTCAGAACTGACCCACAGATGACCCTCCAGTGAATTTTCAGACATAGTTCACTGCACGAGGGGAGATTGCCCACCTTTCTCCAGCGGAGCAGCTGGTGAAGTCAAGCCTTCGGATTGCTAGTGCAGCTTCTTATCACTAGGCCACTGTTTTAGGAACACATATTTGAACACAAAATATTTAGGGAAATCAGTTTAGGTCTATAGATGTATTTAGACGTTTATTTTAAACACAGGTGGCCTAGAATTATAAGCAGGAGAGGAGCCATTCTAAAACTTCAGGGAAGGGGATTTGAACTTGGAAAAGTCTTAGACTTTGAATTTAGTTGAGAAGGTAAAATTTACTTAGTTAACCTTTATAATAATGATGGTTAAAGCTGTAATGTGTTATATGAAGAGTCTTGGCCTTGTGGTCTGATAATGCCCTTTGTTAGAATTACAGTAGCTATGTAGTCCAGGGTGAGAGGTGTAGTCCATGGTGAGAGGTGTAGTCCAGGGTGAGAGGTGTAGTCTAAGGTGAGAGGTGGCATTTCCTTGAGTCTTGGGAAGCTGAGGATAAGACCATTTCATGAATTCTCAGTCACTCAGTGCCCTTGAGACAGAATCAACTCAGAGCTGAACTCAGAGCAGTGGGTTTTCAGAGGCTGTGATTGAGTGGAAGGAGATTGCCCATCTTTCTGCAGAAGGGTAACTGGTAGATTTCAAACCACCTGGCTTTGGATTGGCAATGCAGTGCCTCACTCTTCGGTCCTGGTACGAGTGTAGAAGATGCCCTGGGTCATCTGCTTCAGAGAGGACTGGCGAGTTCTTCTGGGAGAAGGTTGCCACAGACACACAAACACCAGATAAATGAGGAAAGAAAGTTTGTTGAGAGAAAAAAGAAGTTTATTGAGCAGAGAGCAGAGTCAGTCTTCTCTAGGGTGAGAAAGACATTGGTTTGGGGTTGTTTTTCTTGTTGGGTTGGTGTCACCGAGTTGAGGATGACTCATAGTGACCTTATGAACAACCGATCAGAACCCTGTCCCGTATTGTTCCAGCTTCACAGTCTCTGCCACACTCAAGGCCATAGCTGCAGTCACTGTGTCAGCCTGCCTGGTTGAGGGTCTTTCTGTCCTCCGCCTTCCCTCCACCTTCCAGTGTTCTTCTCCAAGGAATAATCTCTCCTAGCGACATACTCAAAGTATGTGCAGTGGGGAGCTCTGGTGGCCTGGTGGCAGGAAGCTGCACTGCAATCCCAGAGGAACACGGTTCGAATCCACCAGATGCTCTGCCGGAGAAGGAGGCGCAATATCCTCCTGTACCAGTCAGATCTGATTTGACGGTACACGCACACACACAAAAGAAAAGTATGTGCGGTAAAGCTTTATCGTCTTTGCAGTCTGTCTGCACCCTCTCCAGGACATAGCTATTTGCTCTTTTGGCGGTCCGTGGGCTGAGTGTTCAGTATTCTCCAACACCACAGTTCAAAGGCATCGTTTATTCTGTCATACTTAGTCCCTGTCGGGCTCTCAGATGCAGAGCAAATGATGGAAAAGACCATAGCCTGAATCAAGCACTTAGTCCTCAGACTGACATCCGTGCTCCGTAAAGTAGAGTGGTCCCTGACTACAGACTTGCCCAGTGCAAAGTGGTTCCTGATCCCTGGACTGCTGGTTCCAAGTTATAATTAATTAAATATTAATTGTGGATGCAAGTAAGGTGAAGTTGTTGACACTCTCAAACTTTTTCACCTCTGTGTTTAGTTTGGGATTTTGTTTCCCATTATCCCAGTGACTTAAGTCAGTCTCTCTCATTCATGGTCTTTCTTTCCTGTGTTGTCCCTCTATCCTTCCAAGCGTAATTCCTTTCTCCAGGGACTGATCCCCTTGCCTCCAAGGAGCAGCATTGTTTAACCATCTCAAGGATAAACCTGTTCTCTTAGCAGTCCATGACATTCAACACTCTTCTCAGCATCACAATTCAAAGGCATCATCGATTCTTCTTCTGTTACCTTTGGTTATTGTCCAGCTCTTTGATGCGGTTATTGTCCAGCTTTTTGATGCGGTTATTGTCCAGCTCTTTGATGCATAGCAAGTAAAGGCAAAGACGATGGCCTAGATTAGGCGCACTTTAGTCTCTAGACTGACACTGTTGCTCTTCAACAACAAGTATTTTGGAGAGGTCCCTGACAGCAGCCTTCCTCAGAGCAGTTCATCTTTTGATTTCTTGACTGTTGGTGCCAAGAGTGTTGATTGTGGAGCCGAACAAGCTGAAATTGCTAACAACCTCAGTCTCTTCTCCATGTTGGCTCAGATAGGGGTTAATTATTTAAGGTTTTTTGTTTTGCTTTTTTTAATTTAAATTTTTTTTGAGAGACTTTTCTGTCTAGTTTGAGTCCTCCTTCTATGTAAGCTTCTAGTCGATGGAAGAAGGTAAATCTTCCATGGATGGAGATTACCTCAGATTGTTGTGTTTTCCAGACAGAAAACAAAGCTGATCTGATAAGGGAGTAGTGCATGGTGTACATACTGTAGCAGCCCCAGTTGTCCTTGTCACCATGTGCCTTTTGTTTTCTCTCACCTTAACCTTGACTCCCTCAGCCACCAGAGCTCACTTCATTAATTCTTTTTTTTTTAAAATTTTTTATTTGTGTGTGTGTGTACCGTCAAATCAGATCTGAGTGGTACAGAAGGAGATTGCCCCTCCTTCTCCAGCAGAGCATCTGCTGGATTCCAATGGCGTACCTCTGGGGTTGCAGTGAAGCTTCTTGTCACTAGGCCACCAGAGCTCCCTTAATTCTTAGGAAGTGTAAATGAAATGTTTAGAGCTATGTTGGTCATATTATAGATACCCAGTTCCTGGAGAAAGACACGCTTGGTAAAGTAGAAGGTTATCCAAAAAGAGGGAGACCCTCAATGAGATGAATTGACCCCAGTCGCTGCTACAGTGAGCTCCACCCCAGGGCCCCTGTGAGGATGGCGCAGGACCTAGCAGCGTTTGGTTCTGTTGTACATCGGGTCACTGTCAGCTGAAGCTGACTCAATGGCACCTAACAACAGTAGATAGTACTAGCAGGTGCTCTGCAGAAGACGTGTGATTTACTGCCTCTGAAAACCCCCTGGAGGGGCAGCTGCGTTGTTTTCGACTCCACAACCACCAATACCATATTGATTGAATCAGTGCTGTGTGACAAGAGTTTGATCAGTGCTTTACATGTTCCTGCTATTGTTTTGTGCCGTTGAGCACAGCTCCCGCCGAGCCTGTGAGCAGCAGATTTGAACCTTCTCCTCCTGTGCCGTCCTTACCTTTTCTGATATACTGGGTCCCGTTGCTGCAGCCACTGTGTCATTGATCATCTGCCTCTCTCCCACTGATCCGCCCCCTTCCCAAGCACGAGGTTCTTTCCCAAGGAATAGCCTCTCCATACCTATTTAATCAGTATGCCGAACAAATTATTCAATAAGCTGAACTTTAATAAAGAATGTAAAAAAAGAGAAAAATGTGGCATCAGGATTGGAGGAAGTCTCATCAGTCACCTTCCTTACGCAGACGATACAACGTTGCTTGCTGAAAGGGAGGAGAACTAGAAGCTCTTGCTGCTCCGGGTGAAACACTCCACTCTTCAGTATGGATTACGTCTCAGTGTCAAGAAAACCATGATCCTGGCCATTGGACCAAGATGCAAGATCATGATGGTCAGAGAAAATACTTAGACTGGCAACAACTTTATCTTACTTGCATCCATCACAGTACAGTTGGTTGGTACTGGGAGATCAGGAAAGTCTGGAGTCAAGGACCTCTCCAAATTACTGAAGAGCAGTGATGTCAGTTTGAGAACTAAGGTATGCTTGATTTAGGCCGTGATCTTTTCAGTCACTTGCTCAGTATCCGAGAATTAGACAATAACTAAGGACGACAGAAGAATTGATGCCTTTAACTGTGGTGTTGGAAAAGAGTGCTGAATATCCCATGGACTTCCAAAAGAACAAACAGGTAAGTTTTGGAGAGAGTGCAGCCAGAGTGCTCCTTGAAGAGAAACGTGATGAAGCGTCATCTAACTTATTTTGGGTGTGTTGCTAGAAGAGGTTATTCCACGGACAAGGACATCATGCTTGAGACGATGGAGGGATTGCAGAGGAG